TGGGATCCAACTGCTTCTTCAGGAACTCGCAGCACACGTCTTGGATTTCGGTCATCTGCAGCAGACAGGCGGCCGGTAGGAGCACCTGTACGTTGGCCTCCTCTACCACCACGTGCGACGAGTACGCAAAGTCCACCAGCAGTTCCATGGCGTGCTCGTCGATGTCCCGTATCATCACTTCCGTCTGACGGCTTTCGGCCAACTCTCCCGTAAACATCGCTAATGGGATTCGTGTCGTAATGAGAGGTGATTAGTGGGACACAGATATCAATCAATGGTAGGCTTATTATCTCGAGATCTGGTCCGTGTCTACACACACACTCTGACACAGACTCCTCGGGATACATAAGCAGATGGCGAGAGCCATACCTAAGAAGTAGGGACTGCAGGCAGACAGCACCACCCGGTGCGCCAATATCTTACGGTTGGCCACAATGAGCACCACATCACACAACTCCCGGCGCCGTCTCAAGACGTTCAGCGACTCTAAGATAAGTCGCGGATGTTTTTCGGACGTATACTCGAGTCTCGCGGGCGACGGCGCCCTCTCTGTCTCGCACTCTCGAAGAATGTCACCCATTGTTCACACCGTACGGATGGCACTCCGATCACCAGAGCATTCCTCGCCGGTCAGTGGCAACGATATCTGCAATTCACATGAAATGAGCGCTTGCTTTGAGTCAATGTTTTTTGAACTGAAAACTCAATTACCTTATCATCAGTTTGTTGTAGTTTTTCAGCGATTTATATGTAGTTTAGTGTGGATTACGATTGCATTCATAAGTCGCTTACGATTACGTGTTTTGATTGCCAATTGTTTTTGCGATTAATTGTCGTTTGGTTTTAATTTTTTCGTTTGTTTTTTCATTCAAAAACTACTTTTCGCTTCAATTTCTGCCATATTTTGTGTTTTTGTTTTTATTGCTCACAAATTACGTACGAAAATAAACTTTTTCTGTGTTGAAGTGGACTTTTTTGAGCCCCCTTTTGCTGTAAGTTATTGACTATAACTGTAAATGTTTTCACTATTTGTATGGTTTTATAGATATTAATTATTAAAGTTGCCACGGTATATGATACTTAAATTAAGCTAGGTCATCTTAATTATTTATTGTAAATATAAGTCATAAGTGTGTTAACAAATATGTCATAAAAGTGCATATTTATAATTGATAATTATTGGGTCACATAATTACGACAAACCCAGTTATATAGACAAAGGGAGGGGGTTCGGGGCAAAGGGTTACTAATCACCCCCCACTCAATGTAATAACATTGTGCAGAACTCCCCCCGACGTGTATATCCCTCGTGCCCATCACTGCCCCCACAAACCCAATGAAATGCTTGTGACTCACAAGTTGTGAGACATA